TAGATTCCTATTAAGAAATTAGTAGTTTAAATGCTTGGAAACCTAACTTCTATAAATAACAAATTTTGATAGAAAAAACTTCCACCAGTATAGTATATTTTAATAATTTTAATGAATTCATAATTAAAAATATTTTAATTATATAAAAGTTTATTTTTATCAATATAAATCACGTGCTAAACTAGTTGATTTGAATAGAGAAAATGTTATAGATTTATTTTTATCATTACAAAAATAAAATCAAATGTTTATTCATATATAACATACATTTTAATGTATTAATTTTAAGGAGCGCAACTTAACTGATTAAATTCTAAATTTGATTTTTATAAATCACTAGTTTGAGTCTTATAAACTTTAAAGTTATTATTAGAGTCACAAAAATCTTATATGATTGTTAACTTTAGGACCTGTTAAATTAATAAATATACGAATAAGCTGGTACAAACACTCATATTAATTAAAAAATATATTAATGTATTAGTTTATCAACCATGTTAACATATATTTGCTACCATAAAAATAAAATACTTGACTAAAAAATATTTAGAAATTTGTAAACTTAAAAAATCAAAATTAAGATACTTAGACAGAAAAACTAAAAAAATAAATCACAATGTAATAATCTCGCCAATAGTTTGCTTGAAAAAAGGTCAAAGGGCAATTTTTGTGTAATAGTAAAATTGGAGCGTAGTCAAAGGCAAATAGAAGCTGCGCGTGGGAGGGGGTTTCTCACGTAAGTGTCACGTACCTTTCAGAATAAATTAGGCAGGCGCAGGAATAGTAAAATAAACAGTAGCAGGGTGGACTGGACGCTGGAGACTGGAGTTATTTGTTCTCTAACCCATCTGCCAAGAGAAGAAGAAGAAGAAGATAGATTTTGCTCATGGCACCCTCATGCCTGCATGTCGCCCAGAGGACACGTGTGCATTATGATAATATGTTGTTTCACTCCCTATCCACACGTGTCAACTCGGCACCATAGATTCCAGGCACCCAAGGTTGTGATTAGCATCTTTGTAGAGTATGGGGTGCCGAGGCGGGTGCTCTGCTGGGCATGGTGATATTCCATTATTGTCTAGTCACTCAAATCAGATACAGGCTAAATTAAGTCACGAACAGTTGATTTTCTACCTCTAATGATCGAACCAATCATATATATAAATGTATATCTGACCATATGTGGAACTAGCTTTTTCTATCTTAATCACGGTTGCATGCAAATGATTAATTAGCGAATTTAATCACAGTTAATTTTCAACGTCTTTTAGAAATCTTGATAAACCAAAACAACTGCATCTTCACTTGCGTTCTAGCCAGCTCTAGTGTTAGGTTGGAAGCACTATTTCGGTAGAACCCTGCATTTTCCAACTTGTAAATAGTAATAATATTAAAAAAAAAAGGGAAAGAAAAGAAAATGGGAGCAAACCTTCTTATGAATTGTGCTCATTAACAGATGAGAACTTTCTTGTGTTACAGTTCGGGTGTTTTCCACTGCCATCTGCAATAATTGCTCTAAATAATTAAATATAGTTTTTTTAATGTGGTGGCCAAGTGGTAAAGACTTGGGACTAAAGAATTTGCTTTTTTTGTGGTCTCAGGTTCGAGTCCTTGGTTGCTCATGTGATGGCTACTGGAGGTTTACATGGTCGTTAACTTCAGGGCCCATAGGATTAGTCGTAATGCACGTAAGCTGACTCGAATATCCACGTTAATCTAAAAAAAAATAATTGCTCTGAATAATTGATGAACCATATCTGTTTGTTCGAGAAGTAGTATGTATTTTCCTTGTGTTCAAATTATAATTGCTGTAAATAATTGATGAACCATATCCGTTTGTTCGATCAGTAGTATGTATTTTCCTTGTGTTCAAATTTGGTCGCAAAACTTTCCATACAAATGCTTTCCAAACACTCACTGAGACATTCGATCATGATAATAGTATTATTAGTTTAGTATATCTTGTTTTTAATATATTTTATACATGATATTATTATATTAATATAAATATATATTTATTATTAAAAAATTAATTTAATTATTTTTTTTATATTTATATAATATTAAATTAATAAATATAATATTTAATTTATAAATCTAGAGTAAATATAAACTTCACGAGACAGAAATATTTTGCAAATAAAATTATAAAATTTTTATAATTATAAGATTTTTATTACATCAAAACATTATTTCTAAAATGTTTATGGTCGATATTTTCTTAAATACTAGATATTTATTAGAGCCGTTGAAACTAATACGAATTATGTTCTTCTTTTTTTTTTATGAAAGAAAGCAACTATTACCATACGAGAGGTATAAAAGATATTTAGAATAAATATGTGTATTATGTTTTTTTTTTTATGAAAGAAAACAACTATTATCATAAGATGAGGTATAAAAGATATTTAGAATAAATATGTTGGTGTTTGTTATAAGACATATATATTAAATTGACATATATGAGAATTCTATATAGAGAAATCATCTAAATCTATGGAAAGATTTACGTGACAGTTGCGTAAATAATCCTTAGACTTAAGATTACTAAGTTATCTTATACTTACGTGACAGTTGTGTAAGTAATTCTTAGATTTGAGATCATTAAGTTATCTTATACAAAAAATGTTATGTTTTGATATTGTTACATGTTATCTTAATCAAAATAATACAGAGAATGTTATGCTTTGATATTATTACATGTTATCTTAATTAAAATAATGAAGGGGTAGATATTGAGTATAACATGAATTGTATGAAGATAGGGTGGACATTGAGTATAACATGAATTGTATGAAGATATTTGAATGATTAAGAGAGAATTCATCACTTTAATGAATTAAAAAAAATATTTTATTTGTTATTAAATGGTATTGAATAAGAAATCAAAATTGAAAAAATTATATATTTAATTAATAAATATCTAAATAATTCTAAATTTATTTAACAAGATAAAATCCTATAAATTCTCAAATAATTTTATTATATTATTTCACCAAAAAAAACAAAAATTATTAACAAGACAAGCTAACATGAATCCAATCCAAACCAAAATTTAATTAATGTTTTAAACATCAAATATCATCAACCGGGATAAGATTAGGTACGAAGCAAGATCACATCACTTGTACAATTGCCCACTCCACCGCTCCGGAAGCCATGTCCACATGTAACACGAAGGGTTGTCTCATAGTGATTAAGAGAACATTACAGACCAAACAACAAAGCAGCTAGCCAACCAATTAACAAAACTGGAAGACAAGCAAAACCCACATGAAAAGAGATTAGGTAATATCACAAGGTGGCCTCAAAACCCGGCTAGATGGACAGTGTTAAAAATGCTTTGACACCAAGCAAAGTCACAAAAAGAGAGTGATTTTCAATTTTTCCAAGTTAAAAGGGAGATTATTGGCAGAGAGTTCGGCGGGAGTGTGTTCCCATCTTCCACAGTAAGACTAAAAGCTAGCTAATCTCATGATGAAACATCTAAATGTATGTTCCTGGTCAAACTACGTTTATAAAGTATGATTTGTGGTCAGTGAAACGAATGATTCCTCACGTTTCGCTTAGCTTTCATTATTGTTTTTTTATTATTAGTTCATGATCACAGCTCACATGACATCTTTTGTATCTTATATGGAGGGATTTCTTTTCTTTCTTATAATCTCTTGCATATTGCCAGACACTGTTATTGTCATCGCTTGAATTCTCCTTATATTTAAATGTTTCTACATTCTGCATATGATGAAGAAGGCCTTTTGTTTGTTCTTCACTGTATTTAGAGCATGTGTCTTTTGTGTGGTTTGTTATCATTATTCTGCACCACCCGTTTGACAGACTCTTGCAGCGTTGCAGAATGGAGTCAAGGCTTGTGAACTCATCGACAAAGGTTTTGCTGAGAGACGACAGGCTTCAATTGACGCAGTACCTTTTATTTTATTTTATGTACGGGAGGCCCTTTACGTGCCGATTGCTGCTAGGACGTAATTTCCTGCCTTTTGGTTATAAGTTTCTGAATATGTAACTTTAAGTTGGTGACCTACCCTAGACTTAAGAACGTAAACAAAAGGAAAAGAAAAGAAGAATCCAGCCTTTTTACTAATTGTCAGAGTTCTCTGAGAAAAACGCATACAATATAGTTTAATTAATGAATGAGATTATTCATATATTTTGATATATGATTCTCAGTTATTCTTTAACCGCGGTATAAATAGCATATACTAAATTTTAGTTGCAATATCAATGCAGATACAAACAGAGTAATTGCCAAGTCTAATCCAAACAAGAACTTGAATATCTAGACACTTAAATTCCCTTACCATAAAGACATGTCCATAAATCTGTATGTTTCTATTGTTGGTTTGGTTAGGAGAGATCGGATTAGTAGAATAATTTCTCAATTGAGCAGGGAAAAATAATAATGCATTCCTGTTCTTAAGAACAAGAAAGAAGTATTGGTCTTTTGAGACTGATTGAAGCTGTGTGGCCTTATCCATCGGCTAGACAATGTGTTTTCTGGATGGTCAGAGACATACACGTGCCCTCTCTCTATTAGATTAGATGGACATCTTGCACGGTTGCCGAGGTGGGCGGTGGGATCGCGAGTGCACGTGACTTTGCGACGCCCAGTCAGCTGACAGACGTGCGGCTGTAAAGACAATTACCCCTCCTAAATACTATAATCATTCATCGGCCTTTACTAGCTGGGCCGAATATTTATTATTTTTTGGGCCATGGAAGTCGTCGGCCTTTTCTTTTCTTAATGATATCGTCGATGCATTTACACATGACAAAGCTGGAACTTGAACGTGAGACAGAAGTACCCATAAGATGAAAATGGGCTCGTTGTAGCTCAAGACTATACACCTCCAAATGTAGAAAAACAAGTGGACATAAGAGTTCGATACCAAGATTGCGCTTCCAAACTTCGGAGAACTTCATTTGAATCGTAGACAAGTGCAAAAGTGGGCTGCATTCCTGTGAATGTTGGGGGAGAAAAGCATGTATAAAAAAAGGTGGCATATTCCATGAACAACCTTAAATAAAATGTGCTACTTTTCTCAACGATGCATTGGTTTATTGACAATGGATCTCAAAAAGATCAGTGACAATAAACAAATCACAGATGCTACACAGCAGCATGACAATAAACGCAGCATATTAGATATCAAGCATTAACAGTGGACTTGTAGTAATCATCATTGATAGTTGTGTAAACGAGGCCATTGTCAACAAGCATCTGTAGTACTTCCCTGTCCAAGACCAAGGAGGATGGTGTTAGCACATTCTCCTCTAAAAGCACAGTAAGAGAGATAGAGAGAAAGAGATTGAGTGAGAGAGACTTGAGCTTATCCATTGGAATCTTTAGCTGACCGGCAATGGCATCATAGTGAGCTCCCTCGGTGGTGCTAGAAAATTGAAGATCACAATGGGTCAAAGTTCTCAAACAATATATAATGAGCATTAAAGCAAATGCATGAGTAAGAACAAAGCTTGAACATTGGATAAACTTTTAGTGTACCAAATCGAAGTGCGTTGAGTCCAAGATACCATACAAGGGCCAAAATTTGTTAACATCCAAAAAAGCATGCATGACACTCAATGCATGTCTGCATAAAGACATGTTCAAGTTTGCTAGCATCAATTCTACATACACAAGAACTTGCCAGAACATTTGTGCAGACAAAAATGCAGAATATTGTCATAGGAGAATTAACTAACTTTTATAAATCAACCACAAAATGAACGATCTTATTTCTACACTTTTACAGTTTATTAATAAGTAGGTCAACAGCACCTTGCGAAGATCATGTTGAATTATACGTAATCAGTAATCACAACGCATTATCCACCAATGCCAACATAATTTGAGAGTTTGCACATAACTTGTAATTTCATAAAATTAAATCAAGTAAATGGAATATACGATGCAGAGCATATTATCAAGTGCGCACATTTCCATTCTCTATCCAGTCATCTATTGACCATCATGGACAAATGTTTTCTTAACTATATGTTCTCTGAATAGGGAACTTCATTGATACAAGCTGGTTCAAAGGATTGGCATGCTCTCCTTTTTTGGATTTTCTTCTTGCAAATTGTATGTTAAATTTGTATGTAATGAGTTACAAGAAAAAGGGTAAATGAAAGGAGTTTTAGTAACAGCTGAAAGTTTCCATTAATGCTACAACTATCCTCCCCTTATTAATTATCATGGGCCCTATTGTAGATATGAGCAGTTGACCACTTGCCTATAGATTGTCCTCGTCATAAGTTCTGTGTTCAAACAAAGATTTCAAAAATACACAATTAACAAGAGAACACATCCAGAATGTTACCTGATGAGCTAGGTTAAACTGAAAATTCAAAAAGCAGGCATGCAGATAGAAGTAGAAATATAAGAAAAATGCTTTCCCTATTGAGAGTTCAACACTAAGAAGAGAACAAAATTCATTTCAGAGTCGAGTCAAGCCAAGTTCTAAAAAAAAAGGGAAACGAAAATCTCAGCACCAGTGCAAGCATGGCACCCATCTGAGCATCATATGTATCCAACAGGTTGTGTTCTATTTCATCTTGCAACGCTCATTAAAATCAAAACTCAAGAATTTCCGGGTATCAAATATAACTTACAGATACGAAGGTTGCTGCAAAAAATTTAATATCATCTGACTAGCATTGTTCAGTCCATCGGCACTGGAATAGGCAGAAGACTGAAAAAAAGGAAAATTTGAGTGCCAGTAAAAAGCTAACTCAACAATTGAGCAAAATAAAATTCTCAGAGTGAGATTGATTACTTGATATGGCGGGGCAGCTTGGTATCCCTTTAAAGAGGTATTTGTTGAATTTGCCACTGGGGGCTGCGCAGTGACACCCTGAACTTAGTAGCATAAGGTCACATTCAGTGTGAAAATGCAGTACATAAGCAAAGCTACCATATCACAAAATCATGCTTAAAACAAAAAAAAAAAAAAAATGGAGCATCATTGCGATAACTAGACCAATACCCGTAACCTGGTATTGTAGAAGTGCACATATATGCACTCAATGAAGTGGTTTGGAACCTCATTAAAGTCTGTAACAGGCCTGAAAACCACATCCAAAGTTTGAGATTAAAACTCTAAAAGAGAATTGTCACGTTAATAGTCTGAAAAACAACAGCGGCATAAATTAACAATAAATGAGTTTTGTTCAGACAAATAGTTTAACTAGGAAATAGAACAAACAAAAGTGTTACTGTGATTGCTTCCTGTTTGCCAAAATAGGCAGTTTTTCATCAAAATTTAGATAAATGAAATTAAGCCAAGAACTATTATGTCCAGAAAGTAATATCTTGCCCATGGATGTTAATACTAACAAACACAGGAACTTCACTTTGATCTATATAAGTGAATATAATAATTTTACTTTTTATTTTTAAAATGTGAAATATTGAAAAGGTTCTGAGAGCCAAACGAATAGTGTTGAAGTGGTAACGACAGTGAAACAACCAGTTTGTCATCTTTTGCCCAGACCAGACTCCAAATTCAAAAGCAGCAATACCTATCATAGTCAGCCACTAGAGTATTGAAAAGGAAACATCATGCTAAGGATATTCAAAGCTCAACTATGCATTCAGACAAGAAATGTGAAATTGCTTGATCAAGACACCTAACCACACAGTTTCAGGAGGGCTAAGCTAGCAAATAACAGTGCCACTGAACTTAGTTCAGTATAATTGCAATAAAAATGAAACTAAACCCTCTCAAGTGTGTGTGTGTGCTGGGATCTCTCAAGTATACAATGTAGCCAAATCTACGCTCCTCTAGAAAAAAAAACTGGAAGAGACCCACACATGGTTCATTGGTAAAATTCACAGATGAGTTAAACTCAGGTCCTCAAAGGAAATTGCCAAATGATGCAACCTCAACCTCACACCAACCTAACAATAGAAAAGAAAGAGAAACTGAAACAGTAGGTCCTGAAGAAAGTACGATGGCAGGGGAAGGATAATATATTCAACACAGCAAAAGCATCGTTTTATCAACATGCACTGCAACTCAAGAAACAAATGCTACCACTGCAGATTTGAGAGCAGGTAATATTCACTGGACTTCTCCCACAAAGCTACAGATGCAAAATACACTTGCTGCTAATAGATGCAAGGGAATAAAAATAAAGCCAAGTTCAATTAAGATTTTTGGTTTTCTGCACCCAACTGAATATACTCTGCTTGCTGTAACATGTGATGCATGAAAATAGTTTGTATATATAAAACTGATTGACTGATCCATAAAAAAGAGCAAGTCAGGAAGAATGGGGGGGAGCATGCACAAGATCAAACTCATGCAAAGAGACAGGTTCTGGTTCCACAATTTTACAAAAAAAAAATAATCATCTTGATTCAGTATAATTAGCACCAAAAGATTGAGTATCTGGTTGCCCTCAAATTTCTTTGAATTAGATCTAATGGGTATTCCATTAGACACAAATCTCAAAAACTCATCAAGGGAAAACACTGTGTTGTTATCTTCAAAGAAATGCAAAATAAAACAGTATGCTTAAAATGCTGTTGCTTTTCTGTACATTCAATCAAACAAACACGTGCCATTTTAGTGCAAATTCAAGTCATATAGGGGCAAAAAATGAGCTCAAAAGGTCAGCACGACCCATGGAAGAACCCACCTTAAGACTAGCAAATCAGAAAGAGATGGTTCAAAACTAATGTTAAAGAATCACATCGCAAATTTTCCCCTTTTTTTTTTCAAAACAACTGTCCATAGGTTAGGAAAGAACCTTTGACCAGGTAATGGAACCTTGAAACGTGAAGATCCTCATAGGGATAATCTGGAAAAACTTAACGTTGTAAAGTGAGAATTATTACACAGAGCAAGTCGTGCAGTTGGAAGATAAATAAAGGTAATTCAAAAAATTCAAAAATTGCGAGGTAAACAGATATCTCAGAAGCTATTAGAACATAAGTGTACGACAAGGCAACCATATAGGATTTCAAGCAAAGACTGGCTTAGAAATAAAATAATCAAACAATATATGGATAATTTAAGGCCCTATACCTTATCCAACAACGACCTAATAACAATAGAACAACAGGCATTCTGTGCTAGGGTGAAGGTCTACCGTCTCCATATTCATTAAAATAAATTAACAGACGAAAAGAAAAGGAAACACAAATACATACCTAATGGAGAAGACATTTAAGAACCTTCTGCCTTGCAGCCCTCTTATGTGTCCATGAACACGAACATACATGCCAACTCTATAGCAAAAAATGGTAATTAAAATTGTATCAAACAAATTAATTTAAAGGTAAAAACTGCGGTTACTTGAATAGCTATTTTGTTGTTAAGAAACTATTTCATGAAGAATCTAAACCCTTCATGCTCATCTTGGTTGTTGAGGATAGTACACTGAAAGAAAACTTGGCATCCTAACACCAGAAATTTCCTTCCCAAGAAAACATGTAGTAATTTTCCGAGCTTCCCTTTTGATTTCCTCACACAACCCCAACAATCCAACATACAAAATCTTTTCAGTGGCAAACAAAGATGTAGTGAAAATTATATTCAAGCGAAAGAAAAATAGACTGATCAATTAAGCAATAAGCAACTAGAATTTTAAGAACGGGCATGGAGGCACTGTATGAGAACAGTACAAAAACATACAGGATTTCCCCCATTTGTTCCGTATCTAAGCTTTCTTGAACCCTGTACAACATGAAACAATTGCATTATTGTCATAATAATATAATTTAAACACCAAACAAACCTTAATCAAATTGAACATTAAATAAACCCACAAATGCACTTCCCTGTCCCGGATTCAAAAGGAATCAAGAAAAATGAAAAGAAATTCACCATTGGGTGCATTCAATCTGTCCAGTCCCATCATCAACTAAAAAGGAGTACTCGCTGGCCTTGTCTTCCTTGTGGGATACCCTCCCCACAATAGTAACCTAACACCGAAATTAATAAATTCATAAAATCCAATCCAAAACAAAAACCCAAATCCCAGGAGTGTGGTGGTAAAAGAAAACATTACATTGTTAACTTCAGCACCATCAATGATGAGATTAGATTCATCATTGCTTGTGAGGTTGTTTATCTGCTTCACAGTCAGCGGAAACAAGCACCGCGCCTCCCGATTCTGCAACTCAAATACAATAAAATAAAAGCCTAATGATCTCCTTCTGTTCCCTCAAACTACAAATTTCCGCTAACTTTCATGGGTTTAGGAAAAGAATAAGCCATTAAACAAGGAATTTATAATTTTGATGATCAGAGGAAAGCAGAGTAAAAAGAGAAGAGAAAAGAAAAGGTACTTTGGAGATAGAGAAGGAGGAGGAATCAGAAGAAGAAGGCTGAACGGATTGAGTAGGCATGAATCCACCGCCCATGAAGGCTGCTGCGCTTCCATCGAATTCGCTGCCACCGTGCATTTTTGCTTTTCTCTTCTCTTTCTCTTTTGGCCTCTGCCTCTGCCTGTTCCTCGGCCCGTAGTGTGTTTTTTGTTTATTTATATGCAAGAGTCTACTTTCCATTCTTCCCGCCAATTTTTCTGCCCCCCCCCCCCCCCCCCATTTCACGAGGGGGCTATGCTGTGGATTTTTTTAGATTTTGCGTTTGTATTTATCTTTTATAAATATTTATAAAAAAATTAAATTTTTTTATTTACTTGGAATTAATATATTTTTATTTTTTAAAAATTATATAATTATCAAAAATAATTAAAAAAAATAAAAAAAATCATGAACATATATTTTACCATGAAAAATTATTTTAAAAGTATGTATAATTATATTTTTAAAATAAATTTTTATTTTTATTTTGATAATTAAATATTTATGATTCGTTTAAGTTTAGCCCTTTGTAAAATCTATTTTTCTCGTCATTTTAAAATTAGGAAAAAGGCACACCCTTACCACCATCAAATACCAATGCATTCATCACTTTATCTCGTTAAATATTATAACACCAACTTTTGATTTACAAAACCCACATGTAAAACTAATTAGATTTAAAAAGTGAAAAACATGTAAGAAATTAATGAAAATTGTTTTGGCCATTCAAACTCTGTTATTAGTAAGTTTCAAATCTTGTTATTAAGAAATTAAGAAGTTCCAACTCTATAGTTATAATCTAATTTTTGGTCCCCAAGAATTTTTCTAATTTTTAAAATAGTTAATAAGAATAAATAAAATATTTTCCTTTCAAAAACAGGAAATCATTTAGTTCATTCATAATTATGCAATTTGGGGTCTTGTTAGGAAAATACTAGAGGGAAATATTGAAATAGGTCATAATCGTGCAAATTGGAAGACTAAAGATCAAAATGAGAAAGATTATAGAGTTTTGGCGTCCAATTAAATCAATTGAGAGTTTAATTGAGGAGAAAAAATGGGTTTGAGGGCAAAATTGGTTAATTTTGCAAGCCAATGATCAAAATGAAAAGTTTGGGATTTAAATTAGGGGTTTAATTGAAGAGAAAATTGATTTTCAAGGTCAATTTGACCAAAATTGCACAAACTAGAAAGACAAAGACTAAAATAGAATAGGTAAAAAACATTAGGAACTAATTCGTTCAAATCATGAGTGAAATTGAAGAAAAAATGATTTTAAGATCAAGTTGACTAAGATTACATAAATTAAAAAGACAAGGACTGAAATTGAAACAATGACATAAATAAAAGACTTGGAACTTAATGTAAATAAAATGCTTAGCTTTTGTGGAGAGGCTAGTAACCACGTTTTTGAATTTTCCACGTAGACCCATAAAGATATAGAAATTGAAGTAATTTAATGTGATTAGTCATCTAGTAACTTCAAGTTCGTCAAATAGAGATTTGATCTTTTTGTAAATAGATACTGACCATGTAATCACCTTGTTTTATGTCTTGTAAAGACATGTGGAGATGCATACTATAAAAATACAATAGAGATTCAAGAGCTTGCTCAAGAGTCTTCCATATAAAAGACAAGGTGTGGCAGTCAACAACCAAGTATAAAAGTTCAGTAGATAAAGAGGACAGAACAACATTTATAATTAGAGGATTTTGTTGTTTCCATGAAATAAATAAACACTAGATTTGGAACATGAACAACTAAAAATGATGAATAATATGAGAAGGAGGGCAAAACAGAGAACTATCAATAAAGGAGTAAACACCATGGTTTAAGAGATAATGTTTCATTTGCATCCTCTAGTACAAGTTATGAGATAGTTTTAAAAAAATAACTTGTTATGTGTGGGCTAAGATAACCATAAAATTGATATGAAAAATAAAAGTAGGAGGATTTAAGCCAGCAACAAGAGGAGCAATCATGAACTTGCTAGCAAGCATAGGATTAGATGAATAGAACATTGATGCAAAGGATGACAACTGTTGAACAATAATAGAAGGAGAAGAATAGTAGATTTCATAATGGAAGAGAAATAAAACGTTGGTGTAGAGGCTTGCAAGTACCGTGGGATAATCAGAAAATAAGAAAGACTTGTGGGAAGAATATAGAGGAGGGTTGGCATAACAGATCTATCAATGGCATAGTCGAGAGCAGATGTGATGATATATTGATTAGGATTCATGTAGAATAGGGTTTAAAAATAATTGTATTGGCTTTAGATATAAAAAATGTTTAAGATGCTTAACAATTGTATTAGCCATCCTCGCTATTTATATAATTAGGGTTACATTAACTCTTTTAGGATATTGTTATTATTGTGACAAATATTCCACTCCACTTGTATAAATAGAATAAATCATCATCCAATTGGTACAAAGTGGAAGCACAAATTGTGGCATAATGTTTTATGGTTTTCTTGTCTCGTCCATGTTAACAAATATGGTAAAGAAGCTTATCATTAATACCTATAAAAAAAGTTTGATTTTGGAGAGCAAAGTGTGAGACGAGAGTAAAGTGAAGAGAAGAAGAGAGAGAGAGAGGAGTTGGTGCTATATACAACAGTGTACGAGAGTTGACAGTTAAGTTGAGTGGATGCAATTTTTCTCCTCTATATATTTGTATTGTATTTTTTCTCTATCTCTAATAATATAAACTTTTCTCTTAAAAATAGATAGTTTGTCAAACCACATTAAAATTTTTATTAATATGTTTAACTTTTAATAGGCAAATATTAAAATATTATCGATTCAAATCCCCGACAAACTTTTACATACTATCAAAGCTATAAGCTATACAAGATAACATAATTTATTATATTTATATTTTAAGATTCAGCAGTGTATTTTGTCCATATGGATGCTATTACATGGATAGAAAATAAAAGGAGAATTTTCATTTTTACTCGTTTGCATCATTAAAGCCCTTTCCGCAGCAGCAATGTTGCATCATGAATTACAAGTCAAGTCAATCACTTATCTTCTAGAAAGAGTTCAGTTTAAAGTTTAAAATTTAAAGTTCAACTCACAGGAAGTGACGATTTGTGAAATATTTTCAATAGTCGAAGCTAGTTTCCATGCAGTCGTTTAAACGAGGATAGAAAGGACTCCGTGCGTCCACAAAAAACTAGAGTATAAGTCACAACTATCATATATATTTTCAAAGAGAAATCGAAAAAACGTTATTACTACGTACCAAGACAAATTACCATTAAACACTAACGTGTAATGATCTGTCATTTCTTTTGAATTTGGAATTAGGAATAAAAAGGAGAGGCAGAGATAAAGGAGAGATTAAAACACAAACTAGAACTAGATGGGGGTGTAGCTAAGCTTGGTTTGCAATCCATCCCACCTCATTTTGAAGAAAACCAAAGACACAATGCATGAGACTAAATTATTGCAGCTCTCTTTGGTGTGCCTTTATACCTTTATGCTTGCGCCGCCGCCTTATGATTTGCAGCGGATGACGGAGTACAGTGGCTCAAAAGAAGAATGCTTGGAAATGAAATGTAAATTATATTTTTTTATTAAAAATTATGTTTTATATGTTTTAAATTATTTTAATGAGTTGATTTGAAAAATAATTTTTTTTAAAAATAATATTATTTTAATATATTTTAATATAAATAATATTTTAAAAAATAATCATAGCAATATTTCAAATAGCGATAAAGGCTTCGTACTCTATATTCTCCAAAAATGGACTCCTCTGATCGTGGACGTTGGCATCTTTTCTTGACCTTCCTCTTTTTTTTTATTGATTCTTGAGTATGTTGGCAATGAATAACTCACGATCAAAACTATCTGCACTCTCTTCCTTGTGTGCTTCCATGCATGATATATATATATATATATATATAGCGCTTATAGAGGCAGAAATTAAACTATCTGCACTTTATTGAAGGTAGTTGTGGCAGGGGAATAATTATAGAGGTGAATAAGCAAGCATCTGCAGTTGTTGCCAACGACCACTTCGTCTGTCTTGCTAACGCTTTGTATGACACTCTCCAACAACAATTCCAAGGCATTAAATTCTTGCCAGTGCCCCGTAGCAGGCATTGCAGGCATCGTTGACATATAATATTTTTAGCACTATTTTATAATGAATTTTTGACTGATCTGAGTTGAGCCAATTCTATAGATTACATTAATTCTTCGACTACTTAAATTGCTTTTTAAATTTTCCTCTCAAAGGAACAAAGAACGCGTACTAATTGGCAAACAAATGTCTAAAGAAACAAATATGTTGTTATTTCAATCGCTTCCGTTCGTGATTTTTTTTCTTTTCTTTTGGATAGCTGTAGATTGTTTAAAATTTGTTTAATTAACATGGTTTCAAGACAAATAAAAAATTAATTTTAAATAATTTTTAATTTTTTTAAATTGAATTCTTGATTTATAATTACCAGCTAATCAAATGTTAATAATAATGTGAATTAATTATTATTAATTCTTTAATTTATTAACTTCTAAAATTCATTATAGAAAGACGAGTGGAGGAAGAGTTTATAACTTGATTGTTATATTTTTATTTTTTCACAGCTTTTCTCACCTCATTTAATTAGTGTTTTTATTTTTTTTATGCTTTGATTTTTTCTTTAAAATCTAGAGTTTATGTTTATATTTTGTTGAGAGATATTTGAGGTTTTTTTTTTGTTCAAAGACATTGATTAGAAGTACATCTAAACTAAGATGGTGTTGTTGGAATCTTGAGAAATATATTACAAACATTCTAATTACAAAAATAAGGAGCAATAAAGCCTTAAAGACAAGACAACAATAAAAATTTCATTTCTTTAAAGTACTTTAACAAGTAATATCCTTTTTTGTTTTAATTTAAGCATTGCTATTTTTATTATTAGTATATATGTTAGAATTTTGATCTTATATATATTGCAAGTTTGAATATATATTTAGTATGCATATTAGTATTTTTTTAACTATATTTACATTGAAAGCGTATTTGTCTTGAATTTTATTTTGCATATTATAAATTTAAAATAGTATGCACGATAGGCTTATCTTGAATAATCTTTCATGTTTTGTATTCTTATTCTATGATAAACTAAATATTCTTGCTAAATAGTCTAATATATTTA